TAGTTACGTATTGCTTTCCATTGAAACAACACTGATTTAGCAGACCAATGAAATACCTCTTGAATGTATCTTCACGTTATCGACACCATCAGCAATTCCTATTCGTTTATTTTTCATTCTTCTTACACTGATAAATTTAACTATTACTACATCGGTAGGATCTGTTTAGATGAGTTTTAGGATTTGAGATTCAAATGTTTTGTGTCACTTTTAAAATTTCCTGAAGAATAGTTTTCATTACGGTTTGGAGTCATGGAGAGTGGGTAAGTGTATTGTCACAGTCCTTTGTTATCCGCTGTTTTTGTTTACCGCAGTTAGTCGAACGAGCGTGGTTTGCAGTGACTTGGATTATATAAATCCCATTGTGCTAGGTTGGTGAGACTTTGGTGTAACTAATAATGACTTAAGAATGATTCTTGTGTACATCGATGAGGAAATGCGAGTGGTTCTGTGGTATAATGATGGCTATAGAGGCATGATTACAAACCCTTGAAATAAAAAACGCAGAGATGTTGATGATCAAAAGTGAAAATATACCTGTAAATCATGCGAGGTTCAACCGTTCTCAATCAACCATGCGCTTTACAGCCAAGAAAGCCCTTTAACTCTTCAGAATGTATTCAAGATTAAGAACAGGACGCTTCCATACCAATGAAACTTACTGCTTATATCACAGAACATTACCTTCACAAGTGGAAAAAAGAAGGAACCATACAGGGTGGCCTGTCTGTTTTCACACAAGGCATCACACATGTTTACTACACTGCAGTTGCACAGAAGGCGATTAATCACCATTCAAAGCTTCTGTTGCTGGTTGCAGCTTGTTGCCCATGAAGTTGGAAGTTTGCTCATCACATGGGGGACAACGCGACGTCATAGGCAGCAGAAAAATATTCATCTGTTTGTCATGTGGTGTGGCGGCGGCTGCTGAGGCCAGATCTTCAATTGATAAACTGGCATTGAAGGCCACCTAAGACCACTTTCATTACATTATGAGGTAAGGGTGTAAAGACTTTGATGACAGTGATTACTGTTTTGTTTTACAGCTAATGCAAGGAGGGTTTTGATGTAACCTCTGGTTGTTATCTGAAATGATGTAATCCAGAACCTGTCACTGGCCAATATGTCGTAGCATAATGTTTTGATGAACATCTGTAAAAAGATTGATACAAGATCTTAATGCACAATTGGTTTGATAAGCACTTTGTTTGGAGCTCAGTACTGCGGAGGAAGAACATTGATTTCAAAGTGTTCCTGGTGGGATAATTCGACACTTTTATGTATGTTATCTTCTCCCTAACACCACATCGCTTCTGCAGCCACTTGAATTCATCAGTAATATTAAACTGTTCTACTATCAGTCACCTATAAAGACTTTCGTCACAGACAGACTCATGAGTTGAGTTACAACAAACGAAGAACTCTGACAGTGACCAGGCTCTACCAGCACCAGCTAACCAGAAGGAGGAGGAGATGGTAGATGACCTGATTCCTAGCACCACACGCACCACCCGCAACCATGAAGTGTTATCAGTTTGTGATTTTTTAAGAAATATATCATAGTAGATATTTGCCATTCTCGAATTCGACAATTCATGGCACAGATGGTAAGCTTATAGTTTTCCCCAGCACAATGAGTCACCCTTACACGAAGCATCTCGGATATACTCAAAAGTTTAATGTTTTTGAAATGACCCAAATGACTGCCTAGTGTCGGTGCTGGGAGGAAATGTATAATAGTCAGGGGATGAGCGCCGCTGACGGTTGTTTAGTATAGGTATACAGAAAGATAATATAGTTGCTATTCACGGTGTACATTAATATAATCTTTTTTTCTATTTTTATTTCTTTAATCATTTTTTTTCGTCCTTAGGTCCTGCCAGGTCGATGACCTACGGCTATTCCCCAGAAAAAAAAAACCCTGAAATTAACCTCGCTATAACTAGGGTTTACTGTACTGTATTAAAATGTAGTGGACAGAATTGTTGAGGCATGACATAAGATTAATGTTGCAACAGTGTTACATGAATGCCTTTGTTCGCTAACTCCAAGGTAAGGGGCAGAGGACCGGGTACAGAAGAGGCAGTCTGGTAACGTAATGGACACGTCGTAGGCAGCATGATCAGTCCCAGCACGGATTTTCGGATGTTCAGATTGAAGTAAGAAATGCAGTTGGTCAACATCAGCAGCAACTGACGATTGAAGAAATGTTAGAGGAGGATGAAGAACAAGAAGAAACGCAAGCAACACGAGGATGACGAAAGTCTGGTGAACCCACAACATCTGACTGAGATGCTCACTACCATTGCATGTCTCAGTGAATAGCTAGAAGAATACAATACCAGGCCTCATGCTCAGAACTATATCTGCCCTGTCATTGATAAGGTTTGAGAATATAAGGCTTTTGTATAACCCGTGTTATTGCTTATCGCGGCCCTTATTCGGTGCACCTGCACAAGGCCCAGCCTGTTATTACTGCCTTGTACTCACTTTAGAAGATGATGATGGCACCAATTTGTTACTGAAATGTGGGTGACTTGTTGGTGGAAGAGCTACCTCAAGACTTTGAGGGATTTGATGCTAGGTTGAGGAGGCAGTAGACAGGGAAGAAGCAGTAACCAGCCCTTCCCTGTCTCCAACCCATCAACCAGCCCCATCAGGTATTTCATCAGATACCATCAAGATAATATATTCACACTAATCAGGATCTTATAAAGGGAAAAGTCAAGAACCATGGGTTTCAGTGTAACAAACCACAGAGATTGGAGACTCTTGGCACTACTAAATAATCACAATAATGACACCACTCACAAATATTAAATAAACCAGGAGTCAAACAATTATGGAGTCAAACAATACGGAGTCAAACAATGGAGTCAAACAATATGAGTCAAACAAAGTACAGATATTTCTCCGCTGCAGATGAATACCTAACCAGCCCGTGGAATGTTCATTTAATGTGGTCCTCTCTGGAAGGTCCGGGGCAGCCTCACTTGGTGTTGGAAGCAAGGTCTTGCCACATATGAAGAGAGACGCCAGGCTAGACAGTGCATAGGGCGTGGGGATGGCGATGGGCAGCCACAGTAGTAGTTGGAGTAGGTGTCTGAGATTGACAGCTGAATAGGAAAGATTGGGAACAGTCCGTGAGCCCCAGAGCCCTAGATGAGTCACAACCAGAGTTGAAATTGAACAGGGGAAGTCCAGCTGTATGTTGCTAGTGTCTGATGTGCAACGCAGGCGGCAGACCTTCTTCACCTGTCTACCCTCACCTAGTGGAGCCAAATAAAGACCAAAGGCGGACAACCATCCCGGCTGTTACTACTTACATACAGTGATAATATGTATGAATACATTACAGTAATGTAATTTTCTGTTCAGGTCATTATAGGGGGTTTCTGGACACACCACAGAACTGATTAGGCTTACATGTATTTCAACATCACTCATTTCATGAGTTTAAATTAAAACTAGTACCAATTAGTGTTTGAAACTTGAGATCCTACCATAATGCTTTATAAAACACTTTGAGGGAACAGATGGAAACATCAGTACTGTACTATACTTACAGATACTGTATAAAGTTTGGTTTATGTATAAAATTACCACCTCTTAGATATTTAACTAATTTGAGATTTGCTTATTTATTTGCTTTTGTTAACGTGTATTTTATTTGACAGCACCTTACTGCAGAATATAAAATTTTCCAATTTTGTGCTGTTATGTTAGGTAATGATATTGTATTTATAAGTCATTAAATGTGCTTCACCCATAAATGTGCTTCACCTCATATGTTGTTTTAACATGTTCACAACTACTGACCCACTGTCAACCCAGTCAGAGCCAATCAGGCTTCACACAACCTGATCAGTGTAAGGACCAATAATTGCCTGCCAGCTACTTCAGGTATCACCACGTTCACTGTAACATACAATAGATGCATTAAAAAGTATTGAATTGAGTAAAATTCTTTAAACTCCCGTTTTCAAATTAAGATGTTCCAAAAAATCTTCCTAACTGTAATGAATAAATGTTGTAGATATACTACATCCAGTATTTGTCACTTTTGATCTTTTTTATTTTGTATTTATAGTTCTTTATTATATTATTATTATTACAGTATAGTCTCGGTTTACGGGTCAATTAAACCCTGAGGTCCGATAAACGAGAAAGCCAGAAATGGTAACAGAATATATGGAGAATTGAAATAGAGATCGACACCCACGGACTTTTTTTCCGCCACAATAAGTATGTTGTAATAAAAATAACATCTTAATTTTATGATGGTATGCACACACAATTAATGTTTAAGAGAAATATCAATAATATTAAGTTTTTTAACACTTATGATAGTAGAAGAGATGGCTGGGCACACGGGGATAGGGGGTTGGTTCCGAGGCAGACCTCCATAAAATATTGGAAATTATCATGTAACCAAATAAGTAATTACCATTGCAATAAACATAATTGCCAACTAGACATAATCCTGAAAGCTCTGTCCTGTAAAAAATTGGGGTCACCCTAAACGGGTAATAGTTTCGT